ACGGAAAAATGACGCAAAAACGGCTTTTTATTTTCGCTGAAACAATGACCGATCTGAAATCAGGCCGCACAAAACCAAAATTTATCTATATACACTAGGGTAGCCCAAATGCCAAATGTTTTAAAATTTGCAGCTCCCCACCGCTGATCCGAAAATTTGGGCCGAAAAAATAAATTTAAGCCATTTTCCGACATACTTTTACTAATCAAATCCACTCCCCCGAGAGCTATGTAGTTTGTAGGGGAATAAAATCAATACATTGAAGAATATTCAAAAAATTTGCTACTATATCGCAATTATACTGGACAACAGATGACTGGATCTTACTGCTGGCGTCCAGTACTACAATTTTGGTCAATATTACAATGCTCTAAAGTGCAAAACTGAGCTGTTAGGGGTGAATATATTGCCAAAATCGACCGAAATTTCACATTTTTGCTACAGAGTGTATTCTGTTTTAACAAATTTAGAACTATTTTGGAACAATTTAGCACACTTTTAGAACCTTTTTAGCACAGTTTTAGTACAAACTTAGCTAATTACTACTTTTTCTATGCTTACATTATGATTTAGATCTGTTTGATTGCGTGTGAAAAATATTCAAAAATTGGTGTATTTGGATTTTCGTTCATAGTGGCCTAGCAAGGCCTGGTCAAATGCTAATTTCATCAGATCATTCCCACCTAAAATTGCACACTGAACACATTTTTAGAAGTAACCATATGCGTAAAACCATCAGGAATTGAAGAAATTGTGATTTATTGAATTATGACGATTTTGCTCTAATCTGGAAATACATATCCCTCTAAATCACTAAAATGGTCCAATATATGAAATCTAATGATGCAGTTTTTCTTGGTTTGGCTCAATTATAGGAACCAATTGAAATTTGCCAAAGAGCTGAAGAGAAAAACTTTTTTCACATCGACCGGTACCTTTTTTGGTGCAATTTCGCAGTTGGTTCAGTATTTTTACATTTTGACACGTGTAAAATCACTGTATGAAGTTTCAAATCAAAAATTTTGATCATTTTCCGTCGATTTGATGTTTTGGCCATTGATGTTTTTGTTGAAAATCCGATGTGAGAGCGCTACTTAGCAAAATTTCTATCAAAAGTGTAAACCGACGAAATTATTGGCACCAAAATGGGTTCAGACTGGCCGGCAATGGTCATATTTGGATTGTACGGAAAAAATTGAGTCGATATAGGCTCAAAAACTGTGTTGTAAGTAGTGATTTTGAGGTTTTATGACGTTATTGTAGCAAAAATGTGAAATTTCGGTCGATTTTGGCAATATATTCACCCCTAACAGCTCAGTTTTGCACTTTAGAGCATTGTAATATTGACCAAAATTGTAGTACTAGACGCCAACAGTAAGATCCAGTCACCTGTTGTCCAGTATAATTGCGATATAGTAGCAAATTTTTTGAATATTCTTCAATGTATTGATTTTATTCCCCTACAAACTACATAGCTCTCGGGGGAGTGGATTTGATTAGTAAAAATATGTCGGAAAATGGCTTAAATTTATTTTTTCGGCCCAAATTTTCGGATCAGCCGTGGGGAGCTGCAAATTTTAAAACATTTGGCATTTGGGCTACCCTAATATACACATTTCCAGCGCAGCGAAACAAATACATAGAACAGGATTTCGGATACAAATCAAAATCAAACATACAAGTGATATTATTGTTGTTCGTTTGCTCATTTTCGAGAAGAAAAAAAACTGATGGAGAACGTGAGGTATTCAAATGAAACAGCGGACCAGACTCGCGCGTGCGATCTCATTCACTCGTTCTCGGGAATTTCGATTTAGAAATAAAATGATGTGAAATGAGAAGAAAAAACAAAGAAAAACAAAAGTCGTGGATTGAACTAGGCGGAATTGAAACAAAATAAATGAATACACGATGAAATATGACTGCATTTAAGAAACAAAATGAACAAAAACATGAAATGTGAAAAGTATAAAGCGGCAACAGCATCACCATTGCGACATGATGCACCCCACATGAAGGAAGAAAGAAGAGAAAAAAAAGAAACACAAGAAATTCGCAAAAATAATCAGAAATGAGAGTTCGGTGTGGATGGTGAGTTGTGATAACGATTTGAATGGCAAAAAAGAGGCGAAAAGCATATAAAATTTGCACGAAACGGAAAACAATATTCAATCTGAATATGAAATTATCATTGAATGAAGTTAGAAAAAAAAAATTGTATGAAATAAAAGTCTACCTTGGAGGCATAGTGTCCATCATCTTGATGATGAACTGGTTTTATGAGATTTATGCTTTTGTTTTTGAGTTAGGTGGATGATTTTGTTCCTAATTTGATTGGATGATATCAATTTTGGTTTTTCTTTTTTTCGTTTTCTTTTTTGTGTGTGAGTGTGTGGATGAGTGGGTGGTTAGTTGTGTGAAAATGACAAAATAGTCGATTGATAGTATTTTTGAATTGGCAGCGCTTTAGCTAGCTCTCTTTAGGTTCTTCTTTTTCACATTTGCACCCTCTGCCTTTTCTCACTTTCCTAATTAAAAGTCGAATTTTTGATGGTTCAATGATTGTGTTTGAATTTTGTATGTGTTTGTGTGTATTTGGGTGTGTTTTAGGTGAATATTGTATGCCCAAATTTATTAAGCGGTCAGCTATTTTTGTGCATACTTTTCAAATATTCCTTTTTTTTCTCTTACTTTTTTTTCTTTCTCTTTTCGTCTTTGCTTTATTGTTCTAATTCAAATGCAGTTCTTTTTCTCTCTGTTCTGTTTCTGCCTTGTGAGCACTGTCTGCATTTCATTCTATGAAATGCGCTTCAATTTGCTCCAATGTTCTTTTCATTTACTTCTGTTCTGTTCTTTCTTTCTCTTTTTTTTCTCTCTCTTTCTTTCTTTATTTGTGTTTTTTTCAGTTTTCTAACATTTTCATTCATATTTTATTTCTTTTTTCTTTATTTTTCCTATTCACACGTGGCATTAACTGACCAATTTATGCAAATCTAAAAATGGAAAAAAGAAAAAAAAAAGGATATGGTATTATATAAATAATTGTTATGTGTGTATATGTTCGGTATGTTGTATGTCAATTAAATGATAAGTTATGATACAGATAGAAGAAGCGATTTTGTTTGTAACTGTGAGTGTGTATATATTTTCTTTTCTGATGTCGATGTCGATGGGAAATGGAAAACTGAGAAAAACTGACGACAAAGAAAACGCTTCATAAACTTGATGTGACAAAAATTGAAAAATAAATACAAAATAACATGAAACTATTGGTCCACCAAAGTGAAGAAAAAAAATGATGTGACGGTGGAAAAAAAATGTGTGATGATAATTTTCTGCTGAAAATACATATCGTATCATCACCGACTGCATCAATCGATTGATATGCGCTTTCATCAGAAATGCATGGTGATGCCGTGAAAATGATCCCGAGGTGTTGAATTGTAAGCGAAAATGAGTAGAAAAAATGAAAATGAATATGAAAAAGTCCAATTCGTTTTATCATCGACATCATTGATATTTGCAGTTATGATGTGAATTCGGATTCAAATGAAATGATGTGTCAATAAGATGTTGACGGGGGCATTTGCTATACACAATATCAGCTTATTTCAACTGAAAAATCTATCAACTCAAAGATGGGTTCTCTTCGGTTGGCTTGAAATGAGTATATGTGTTCGGTTTTTCGATACAATTGTCTGCTGTTATTGCACACACAGCTTGAATATTGTTTTCGTTCAAGCTGTTCAATACATGTGTTTTGCTTTGCTAGAGACTTTGCACTAAAATCTAATAAAAAAAATGATTTTGCAATTATTCAAACAAAAGATTGTCTTGACTATGTGCAGGGAGAAATACACCAAAATCTTTCACCGACCAAATTGATTTGGAACTGAACAACATTTTGGATTAGTCTTGTTAATTGTATTTGTTGAGCTTTGAACTGAAGAGTTGCTCAATAATTCGAACAACAATTTTATCGCAATCGAAATTTTGTTGGTAATTTTTTATCCTTACTTCGTCATACACTGTATTGGTCTTCAAATTAAGGCTATCGAAAAATTGGTTACCAATCGTTGCCCACTTTGATCGGCGAAGTGGAACAGAAGTATTTCTCTCCGTACACTTGAGAGCTAGAGATTGACGTCTCGACTGTAATTCAATCAGATATTTCGTTCAATTGCATAGTAGCACTTGTGCCGACTCATTCTTTTATCGCATCTAATTGCTGTGAAACACTTACCGAACAGAGCAAGTACCGATTTTTCTTATACTGTTTGTGTTTTTTTCTCTATTTGTTTCTTGATTTCATCATTATTTTCTTCGTTTTTTTTTTGTTGTGTTCTGTTTCGTTGGATTTGATATTTATTTTCTGCTGCAAAGTCTACCAGTTACTCATTTAAACACGCCAATAATTTTGCAACATACAAATTCACTCACCATCATTCGTCATCTATATATTGCCATGATATGGAAAGCTTTTTCAACATTTCTTTGACGTAATTTTCGTTTTGTGTTTACGAATGCAATAAATAAAATCAAAGAAAGAACCAGATTCACATTCAATCGATAAATTCCCGTTTTCAAAACCAAAATTTCAAAAAGCGCTTCTTTTTCTTCTCTGTTACGTGACATTTTGTTATACTCAAATTTTTCGTTTCTCTATTCTGATTTGTTGGTCGATTTATTCATGTAATCAATTTTACTCATAGAAGAGACGCCATTCCTTACATTCAGACAACCGATAAAGTGATCATGTGCTCAGAACAGAACAGGTGGGATGAAAGAACGAAAAGAAAAACTACAACTAAACACTGTCAAACTATGAATGTACCAAAAGATGTCATTGTAAATCAAATGGAATGCACGCCAAACGAAAAGATGTAATATTTCACTCCAAGATCAAACATGCTAGCACGGAATTTGTTTTCACATATTTTTGGCTTCCTTTCCGAACGAAGGCAGTTAGCCTATTACAGTAAGTCTACACATACAATCCCGTCCGAATCGGATGAAATTCGGGTATCATCCAACTGTACGCTACACTCGAATCACATCCATTTGTGACGGTAATAATGTGTGTGAAAACTGACTGACTGACTGAGAATTATATATGTACAACAGATTTGATCGTTTTCATCTTTGAATCAATTGAGAAATCAGAACCGTTGTGCAACATTTTCAATTGTAAATGTCACTTAAAATCTTCAAACTATTCATTAGCTCTAGAAATATGCACGATATAATAATCATTTTCAGTATAAAAAACTGTCGAAGCAAAAACATTTTGCTTCTCTTTGGGGATTTCCCTTTCTGTCTCCAATTCGAAAAACAGCAGTTTTGACGCAGCAACCGTCACGCCATCCAAATGTGGTGTTCAAAGGATGAAACATTGTCGCCGAACGATTCGTTTTGCAAATGTCACTCAGCACAGCGGCTCATTGGTGTAGGAACATTGACAAGAAATTGGCGCACATTTTTTTGAGTGAACATTCAACGAAAAAAGGCAATTTTTTTTGCAGAATAGTTGCTTTAATTGCGAGACCAAAACCCTTTTACAGGTATGTACGGCTAAGAATAGAGTTTTTGCACAAATTAAATTGTGGATTATTTTGGAAATTGTTGTGAAATTGTTATTCCGTCATACCGGTTCACATTTTCATGTTCAATGACATGTTCAAAGCGGGAAAAATCGCAATATTCTAGACCGATTGCATTGATTGACGCGAATAAAACAATATAAATTAATTCGATCACAACAAGTTTTCCCATTTTTTTTGTTACCAATTACAATTAATGGATTGTGGTTTTTTTTCCAAAGATTATTTCGCAATTTTGAGGCGAGATCCGCATTGAGACAGGGAGACAGAGAGCAAACGAAGCCTGATCTATTCAAATCGTTTGGATTCATACGAAGTGGACTTATTGTGACCGAGGTGAGTTTAGTGAACGTAGAAAATTGCAACAAATTAGCGTAAAATCATGTTTTTGCGTGTGGTGTACATGTTTCGACATGATTTATGGCGACGGACTGATGTATATCATCACATTGTTATCGTATTCGTTTGAAGCGATCAATCAGTGCAATGTTTTCGATTTCCGTAGCGTTAGCCAATTTCACAATCGCTAATCGCTTGCAACAAACATTTCATTCGTTCTACAATTTATTTTCTCTCGTTTAGATCCATCGCGATGGCGAGGCGTAAGCGGCACAATAAGACGTTTGGTAAGCCAAGGGAGAACAAAGTCCAGATGAAAAAGCACTCAATTGTGAAGAAAAAACGTGTCAATCGGAAAGAAGATCCAGAAAAACAGTCGACAGAAAATGGCACAATCGAAATCGGCGCGATCAAATTGGCATTTAATTCGATAATTAATCCGAAGTTAACAGAAACAGAAAGAGGATTTCTGATCCATAAGTTCTTCGAGAAATGTTTGAATGCTACGAAAGTCATGCATCTTGCATCGATGTTAATGCTCTACACAATTAACGAAGCATTTGATGATGGCAATTTGGACTTCTTCGTGAATCAAAACGGAGCAAATTTGATTACAGACTGTTTCAACTGTGTCACATCGAACAACATCAACGATCCACTCACAGCCCAAATGCCAGACACATTTCTCGCGATGGTGACCCAAGGTAGCCCCAACTTTGAATGGCCACGCCGCCATCAAATGACTCGCCAAGTTTATGCTCTCAAGGACCAGTATGTGGCCAATGTGAAGACAAATTTGGAGACGCACTGTTGGGTGAGATTGACCCACTTTCTACGTGTAAAGTGCCATGAATTCAATCACAAAGGAAGCCCACTTGGCGTTATTTATGATGCATCATACTTGCCTTTCGATGACATTGACATTCGAAATACGATGAAAAATTTGATGTACAATGAAGATTGGACTTATGATGATGATGAAAGTCGAAAGTCGAAGATGGAAATACTGTTTAAGGAAGTGTCTCAGCTTTGTGGCCCATCATTCGTAAAATACTTCACAATGTACGAATACATTCAAAAGGACTGGTTCGAGTCTTTGTGGATGAGGATAGGCATGCAACGAATTGTAGAGAAATTTTTGATCGATACGGCTCACCTTCGTGAACAGTGGAAAGCATACGATCGTGATCCAGTGAACAATCGAGAGCCGTCGGTACCGAAGATACCAAAAGTAAAGAATTTCGCCGCTATTCCACTCTGTGATACAAAACTGAAGCACATACCATTCGACCATAATGACTTGATTGATATCATTGGCCAGTTGAGAAATGAACGGGGATGGAATATCCGTGCTGATTATCGTACATAATACAAGCAAGGCGAGAACAAAGACGAGGCATGGGGAATTGTGTTCGATATGGACAAAATCAGACAGCTCAGAACCGGTTCGAAAGAGTTTTACCACAAAATTCAAACCAACAGTAGTGCCGTGTCGGTGTTGTTTAGCAGACCCAAACGCAAAGGAGCCGGCGTGACTCTGTCTGAAATCAAAGCAAAGTACGAAAAGCCAGTCAGCAAAGGCGGTTACAAGTATGAATCAGGAATTGATCCCGGCCAGAAAACAAAAATGGCCTGCGTGCGTCGGACTCTCGCTACTGGAATTGAAGTAAGTTGAAATATCATATGAAAATTAACATAGATTTGCATTGTTGTTGTTCATTTCACAGACCAACATCAAATTATCGAGTATTCAATATCACTGGGGTGCGCGACAAGGAATGCGCGACAAACAGGCCACGAAAATGACCAGAAAGTACGTGCACAAAGAACAGCGCGACTTGAAAAGCTATCCGATCACATCCGTATCGCCGCGAGGATCACAATGGAAATCATTCATTAAGCACAAAATCAAAATGCTGACAGATTCATTGGCTACATACGCCAGAAGAAAATACGCACAGCTATCGTTGCACAAGTACATCGAGTCTAATCGCGAAATGGATTTGATGGCTAAACACATAACAAACAATGAGACAGGAGTTGTGTTCCTTGGTGATGCGGCGTTCCCATCAAATTCGAAAATCGGTGTGAAAAGAACAAAACGATCACCGGATCAGCGAAAGTTCATAGTTAGCCTAAAAAAGAACGGCAAAACGGATGTTGTGCTTACACCAGAGCCGTATACATCACAAACCTGTGCCAATTGCTTGCGGCGATTTCCGAGAAGCACAAAAAGTGACCGATTCAAAGTGTGCAAAGATTGTCGCCCACACAAGGATGTGAGACTCCCACCGGTTATTGTGACTGATCGAAGCAGACGGCGCAAGCAACGTGATCGAAAACAAAATGCCAGCCAAAAGCCCAGTGATGGTTTTTCGTTAGCCAGCATTGTCTTAGCCTTGGCTTACACCAACAACTGGTGTAAGCCAATCGTTAGCCAGCTATCTGTGTGAAATGAGTACATTCAAAGTATAATAATTTTTGATTTGCGTATTCTGATTCAAATCATACAAATTTTAAAAAAATTAATATATTTCAATTAATTTTCAATTTAAAAGTCATTTTTATAATTTGAGCTATTTTTTTTTTCAAAAACTTATTAAAAAAAATGTCGATTTTTGGTTTCATTTAAACTCTGACCTGGTGATTTAAATGTCAGTCACAAACGTCAGTTCAGATGATTGCGTTCAGTTCTTACTGAAGTTTTTTCACTGGTCTACACATTCGTTAGCCAGTATACACTTATGCGGCTAATTAGCCAGCTAATTGGTTCTTCACTGCAAAAGCCAACAGCAAATGTAACTAGAGCCGAAAAAGCTGAGAAGCACCGGGAAAAGCGTCGAAGTGAGCGCGAAAGCCACAATCCAGAGCAATTGGATACCGAAGAGGCAGTGAGACGGTACAATCGACGCATACGACGGCGTGAACTACGTCAACGACGTCGAGTTGCAGGCCATCGCAGCCGTAAAGTAACCAAACAGCCGGAAGCGGAATCCGATTTGCCAGGTTTTGTGAAAATTGGTGACACAAGTATTTGCAAGATTCGTGTCAAAAATCGTAAGGCCAAACCACAATTATGGCAGCGAATACATTACGATGCAACTGATAAAGGAATTGGGTTATTGGGGTCAAAGAAAATAGCCTTCCAGAAAAACTGGCACTCAAGCCCAATGAATGATCAGAACGCTTTTACTGCTACTTGGCATCGTGACATCTGTGCGGCGAAGTGCATCTTGTACAGAGGTATGTGATCTACACAATACAATCACATTCATGTTTTATTGTATTTCAATTTCGAGTTCAATTCGTTCATTCTAGGCCGTTGTATGGTTTTCGACTTGAATGTGCACGAATCATTTGTGTTACCACCAGAAAGGATTTGGCCAAAATGTCGAGATGACCAATCGAGTCGGCCAATCAAATGCTGTCGATGAAAAGTAGAGCGTAGATCAAGAGAATAAAATAAAACATTAACGATTAGTTATTATCAAAGCTTGATTTTTGTGGCTTTGTACATATTAAAATGTGTGTGCAAATACACGATGTAATACGGCTTGAGCCCGTAGGTAAGTTGTTGTAAGATTTTCTCAGTCAGTTGGTCAATTTCAATATCCACACCAATATTTACCAAAGTCATAAATGGACCTAGTTCAAGTGAAGCGTACAGTTAGATGATACTCGAGGTGGGTCCATTTATGACCTTGTTTCACACGTGATTTGTTATTTTGTTATCAATTGATTCATAATCGTTTTTATATCTTTCTAATTGATTTGTTTTTACCGTTTTTTTCTACTTCCATTGTGACGTTAAAAATGACTGAAACTACACACAAATGCGGGCCCTAATTCGACCGTTTACATACGCTTGGTAATGGATGTATTTGCGTCAACAATTGTTTCTTGGGCTATTACAGTAATACTTGAGAATGAAAAGCGATTGAGGATGAGTGAGCGTGTACGAGCATGGATGCGCAATGAACAAAGCTGTTGGACAAAGAGCAGAAATTAAATTTTCAACAAATATACTGCATGTCGCAAATTGATTACCATGAAATATATTTCATTGACTTGAAACAAAAAGAAGAAGAACAAGAATATAAGAGCGTCACTTGACTGCTGTCTCGTTTAACGGTTTCAGAATCAAAATAAGCTGATATTGTTCTTTTTGTAGGAGAAATGTATGAATTTTTTTGTTATTGTTATGTTTTTTTTTCCGTGACTTGACGAAACGAAACGAAAAAAATGTACCAGAGATACAACTCAATTATGAAATGAAAGGGAATGAAAACACTTTTCTACTCGAGATCACGAACAATATAGAATGAAAGGATACGACAACCAAAGCGAATTCGGAAACAGCTATTACCATGCTTGGGAGACAATCTATCTGATAAAAGCATTGTGTCTGAACATATACAAGGTGGAATGAAAGTAAAAAAAAACCAAACAAAAATTAATAAATTGTCTAGCAAATGGAAGGGAATACAAAATAAATATCATAACAAATGCTGTGAATACACCAGTATTGTTTTCTCTTTCCTTTTCTTTTTTTTTGTGATATTGTTTAAATGTTTAGATCCATCTAAATAATTGCGATTATTTTCTATATATGATTTCAATTGTCAATTGTCTACGAGCTACAACTAAATTGTGTTAAAAACTCTTTTCCATACAGTATGAATATATATATAAGCGTTGGGCAGAGAGATAAACAAATAAACAAAAAACGAGAGAGAACACAAAATGAGAAATGGATTGCAAAATGGACAACATACTCGAGAAGTAATTGTCGAAGTGTGGCCTCATCATATGAGAAGGTATGCGACTCGCCATGACCTCTACTGGATGCGTTCGATGCGCTGTCCGCTAGGGGTCTTTGACGTTTCGGTACATATCCAATCGAACGACGATAGTGTCGTCCATCATCTAAACTATCTTGTTGATGGGCGTCTGTTCGTGTACGTGTTTTTGGTTTAAAATTTGTGTGGTGGTCGGTTTGTTTTGAGTGTCATCAGCCAAAAGGATTAAAACCAAATCAAAAGAAAGAAAAAAAAACACATCAAGAGAAAAGAGACGAAAAATCAATCAGTTGTTGTTGCTGTTGTTTTGGATATTGGATTGTGTGAGAGAAAAAACAACAGAAATAAAGAATGAACGAAAGAAACATGTTGTTAAGGCAGCTGCAATACGTAAACACTTGCCATCAGATCTTAGTCTAATAGGAGGTGAGGTCAGCTTAATCGTGGACGACAATGCTGGCGAATCGAGTGGTGGTCCAAAAACATAATCATACGAAACGTCCGAATTTAAATTGGCTAATCAATGAATGAAACGAGTTTGAAAAGAAAGGAAAAAAAAATATTTTTTTTTTGTTCAAAATTCAGTCGTTATAATTTTAGTAAGAGAAATTCAAATCAGCAATGCAAAGGAATATTCCAAACTGAAAAACCAAATTGGCTAAGAGCTGAAAAAAAAATGAAAATAATAAAACATAGCTATACTTACAAGCAACTCAAAATTATTCAACTTATAAATTTATTCACAAGCATAATTCAAATCATTTGAGATAAATCAAACACAAACCGAAAACCGAATAAAAAAACGAAATAAAACAAAATCACTGCACTTGCTGAACCGAATGCAATATTCAATTCAAAAATTACACAACGAACTGTTATTCAACTTCTGTTGGGCATAATTTGCATACCTGTGAACACTGATAATGGTTGCAAAACTTGACCTGAACGTAAAGGTGGTGGATACGGCGGCAGTTGTGATGGCTCAGGGCCGTTTGATACCGAAGAAGGAGGTGAGATCATCGATGTTTTACCGTTAACCGCCATTGCATGCGAACGGCCGACTTCTTATCATAGATTAGCATAGTTTGATATTGGATGTAACGTTGATGAATAAATCAATTGTGTGTGATTTGGTTATGCTTTTGTTTTAGGTTTTTTTTTAAACGATTGAATTTATAACAGAAATACGTGCACTTAAAAATTATAACTTAGTTTTGTTTTGTTTTTTGTTGTTGTTTTGTTCTATTTGCTAAAACTCAGTGGTCATCAAGAAAACGCGCTGTCGTATATTCATTGCGATGCACAGTTATTAGATAGATTAGTTGTGATTGTGTTTGTTTGTGTATATAAATCTCGAAAATTTATTCTTTTCGTTATATTTATATTATAGTAGTTTAACTTCGACGTTCGTTTGATCACCGAACCGAAGCGCAAAAACGTACGCTTGACCAAACAAAACCAACCAACAATCATAAGAAGAAAATAATAAACAACAACAACAGATTGAGTTTGTCTGACAACAAATCAATCTTGGTCTTTTATTTTCGGGACAATAGATAGAGAGAACACAAGAGAGATATATAAACCAATCAAAGTCTCACCTCAATTTTTATTCCAGCCATTTCGATAAAAATACCATCAATGAAGAGACTTTATTCGTCTTCCGTTATTGTTTTTACTCGTATTTTTTTTTCTTGCTTCTGTTTTGTTTCGGTTAATTCGATTTTTGATACGAATAAAATTGCATTGAATGCCTTAACAAGATTTATTTCATCCAATTTGCCCGTGGTAGAATTTGCGAGAGAACGCGAGAGCGCGCGCTTTTTTCCGTTCTTTGTTTTGTTCGGTGTTTGTTTATTAGCTAAATTAGGTTTTGTGTGGTTTTTTTTTAAATTTATATCACGTTTTACAATCTAATTCAAATCACTTGGTTTGTGTCCGCACTTGTAAAATGGCATCGAAATTGAAAGTAGAGGCTCACATTCGATTTTTGGTTGAATTAAATTTGTTTTTTTTTTGTTTCTCTTCTCGTTTGATTCGTTCACTATAAATTTTGCTTCTCTTTTCTTTATTCTCCAGTTCTGTTTAGCTGTTCTATTCTTTTTAATCGTCAGCACAAAATGCTTGTGTCGGGTATTGTTTTCAGTGTAAAAATAGAGTGTCACGAATACGGATGTATATATTGCAATGCAATCGATTCTAATTCGTATTATGATTTTTATACACTATATGAATTGCAATTTATGTAAATGTTCTAATCTGCGTTTATTTATTCAATATTTAATGTCCAGAGATTGAGTTATTTTTTTAATCAGTCACCGCTTTGTTTATGAATTAATGAGGAATAACCGCAATGAGAGTTGAGATTTAGCGTATAAAATCTGCGAAAAATAAAAATGAGAGAAAAAGAACACAGTCAATTTAAGCATTTCTTTATGGTGGAGCAAATAAAATGTTCGATCTTATCCGATTCACACGTCATACGATAACACATTCACGATTATTGCTGTTTTGAGTACATTTTTTTGTTGCTCTGCCGTTTTGTTTTTCTACATTATTAAGAATAATCTATTATAAAAAAC